AGTGCCGTTGCTAATCCTGTGCCTCGCTTTGTGTCAGCACATTTCCCACAACATCCACTTCTACTGAAGCTGGACTAATTGGGAAGACAGCGGAGCTGTAATCCGCAGAGCCTATTCTGCAGTTTCTTAATATAGCCTTAACATGCAGGCCAGCTGGTTTCCAGTTCTCCATCCTCCTAAACAAGACAGACCGTATTTGATTCCAGACCAAATCTGGAACTAATGCCATATGCAACTTCAGTGACACCTAGCCCTGAAACTGGCTGTGCTGCAAAGGCATCTGCAGGAAGTGTATTTCTCATGTCACTCGGCACCTCTCTAGCAAATGCAGGAGTCATGGCTTTGAGCTTCCAGAAAAGTCATGCTGTAGGTTTTTTTTTCATGGCTCTATTAATTTTCCTGGCTAAAACTGTTGTACTAGGGCCTGGTTAAGTGATGAAATGCAGGAGAAAAGGAGAATTGCTCTGGGATTTGACAAGGATACAAGAAGTCCTGAGAGAAAATGAAATCTCTCTTGGCAGTTTGAGTGAATTCTGCTTTTCCCTGACAGTTATTTTACATAAGTGGGCTGCTGCTCAGCTCAGACTGCTTATTCAGAAGAGAATTCAGTGTGAAGCACAATTCCATAGCAAATGCTGCTTATTCCATATGCAGCTTCCAAAGGCATTCTGCCATTTTTGGGAAAAGGTACCTGTTCGAATTTCCACCCGTCGGACATAGTGGACACCATCTGTGTGAGCTCTTCCTCTTGGCACTGCAGGACTCTGTACACGTGCTTCACAGGTCCCTAAAGCACAGAGAATAAAAACAAGCATAAGTTTAGTAACTGTTAGACGAGTAACAAGCTAGGAAATTAATAAGCCTCTCCTGCTCTGTCGCCTTGTTATTTGAGGAAGTCTGAGCCCCACAGGCTTTCTGACTTCATCCTTCAGACCATCTAACTGATTCTAAAACAGGTACATACAGTTGTGACTCTTCTCTCCAAAGCCTTCTAGGTGTCTAAGGGCCAGTGAAAGCAAAATTTCTTTGGCTTTCAAAGCCATTTACTGCCCGTTGAAAACATTTCTCTTCTGAAATTGAATCTCCTGGGTGTGCTGTTATCAGCTGAGCAGCAATGGGGAAAATTGCCACAGAGACAGATATAAAGGGAAGAAAATGGTTTAGAGAAGGAAGAGTTAGAGCTATTCTTTACACACCAAAGCAGTATTGCTTTGCTTTATAACTACCCATCTCGGTTTCTGGCCCCTCTTGTTTGCTCCCTGTCTTTCCCTGCAGCACTAACAAGACGATTCAGTGTTCTGTGCTTATAAAACCATAATGGATAATCTTTCCTAGCTGTGCCTTGGGTTGACCTAAAAGCATTTTTCCCTGTTAAAGGTGACAGTTAAACCAAAGAACTGCCACTAGAAGTGTCTACAGCCACACGTGTCCCTCTACTGCACTAGAAAATGACCGACTTCGTAACGCAAACGTTGCTGGGCATTACTTGGGAGGTTCTGTTCTCGTTATCCCGTATCCGCTCCTTCACCAGCCGCACAAGGGATGCAATATTGTAAAACTCGGCTTCTTCCAGTACCCCTGGGAAAGGAATCAAAAGCAGAGAGGAATTCTGTTACTGTGCACAGGGTAGAATGAAGACGATTCTGCTACAAGGATGCAACACCTGCTCCTGCCTCCAAATCTAGCCCAGATGTGAGAAAATCCCCCGACGCTGAATAGGCCGTGCCATCCATCTCATGCTCCCAGGCTGGAAGCAAATCACCAACTAGTTGTCATCTGCTTTTGTGACTTAGAGGATTTTTAAGAAAGATTGTTCTCTTTTCCCAGGGATTATCAGAAACTTTGTGGCACAATCTCTATTTTGTTTGCACGTCTGTGTGGGGAGAGGAGATGTGCTAACAAAAACCTCTGAGCTAAGCAGAACAGCGATGACTTGTGTTGCAAGCCGCAGGCCTCTGCTTCCAGGAAGATATAGAACCTAATGATTTAATCCCTGCTAATGAGCATCCTTCTGAGAAGCTAATGGTACTAACTAGCAGCACTGCTGGGAAATGCAGCTTCTCACACCCCTACACATCACCGTGCCAGGAACCCTCTGCACTCAGGCAAGTTTCTGATGCTGGCTCGGGGTTACTGCTATCAAACAGCATTTGAAGTTCTCACCCTGTAATTTTCTCTCACCTTCTTCTGCAAGCTCCTTGTTTATGATGAGCTTCCCGTGTCGGAGGTAGTTCAGTATTGGACCAAAATAGGTGGGGTCTCTATCGATGAGATACGCCCCCGTCTCATCCTGTTGAGCGAGCAGAGGAATGAATCAGGGATGGTTAAATGGTAACAGGAAAAAAATAATTTCACTTTAAAGTAATAAATTGAACAGTTTCTCTCCGACAAAAAATAATTTCACTTTAAAGTAATAAATTTCTCTCTGAGAACCTGGATTCATTTTCCTGTGAAAGGTGTACTCCATATTTAAACCAACTTTTTTTTTTTTCTCTTCAATATCTGAATTCGGCTACAAATGCTGCAGCTCAGTAACGCTGGCAGATGCTTCAAATGAAGCACTTGGACACCCAGAGTTATACACCTGGAGAGAAAAGCAGGGTTTGGCAGTTTTTCTTCACTGCAAGGATAAAACCCAAAAGCTGGCAGCTGTGTTCTGTCTAAATTTGTTTTCCAGACAAGTTTAACTAGAAAAGTGTGAAGGAAAATTGGATCTCCAGTTCTAGCTCACAGCATATGATGGTTTAAATAGCGCTTTTTTTTCCCTCCTCCTTTCTGCTACTGAAAATGCACATTGCACTGCACCAGCCGTGTCTCTGGCAATTCAGCCACTGCCACCAAACAACCAACAACTCCCAACCAAAAGCATTTCTTGAGCTAGAGCCAAAGTAAATCTTTCATATCACTCCCTCAAGTCACTTTGAAGCAATGTATGTCTTGCCAATCAATCTGCTCTAAAGCAATAAAAAAACTGTGAAAAAACATTCTGAAGTGTCACCTCTTTGACTCGCTGACGCCAGTGACCACTGCTCTTTTGATCACAACCAGGATTTATCTTTTTGATTAAACTCTGAAGGGAGTGGCAATTCCCTGCTAATTCCCTCACTAATTCTCAGGCTGACCTACCCACAAAATATGTACAAAGTCTCCTGCAGCAAATCCTACAGAAAACCTGCAATTACAAGCATAACTGTTTGCAAAATCCTTCCGATAAACTGCAACGACTTCAAACCCATCCACCCCTGCAAGGAACGTGCACTGTCATCTTTTAGAACAGCAATGTGAAATATATTTTTTAAAAAACCCAACCAACATGCTTGGGGGGAGAAATTGTTAAAATTCCTGTTTCTAGGAAAGTTTTGTTCTAGTTCTCTCTCTGCTACGGCCACCTTGGGAAGGTGCTGGTTTGCTCCCCGAGGACAGCCCTGTCACCGGAGGGCACCGGTGGCTGCAGAACCCGGTTGTTACGGGCACCAGGGGACTCTAAGCCCCGTTCTTCGGGATGTGGCCAAAACTGTGCCCGTGCAATGGGACACGAGGGACCAGGAAACAGCGTGTGTCCCCGGGGAGCACGGGAGCGGGGCCGCTGTGGAGATCGGCCCTTCCACGCCACGGGGGCTGCGAGGGAGCAGCACCGGGGGGAGTTGGCCCCAGGGACACCAGCAGCTGGGGCTGTCACCCTGCCCGTCGGAGCGCTGCCCCCACGTTGACATTCGCTACCGCGGGGACTAAGGCGGCTCAAGGAGGGGCGGTCGCCGCCCGGGCTCAGGGCGTCGCCGTTCCCGGGGTTGGGGGGGGGATGGGGTGTAGAATCGTTACGGGCACCAGGGGACTCTAAGCCCCGTTCTTCGGGATGTGGCCAAAACTGTGCCCGTGCAATGGGACACGAGGGACCAGGAAACAGCGTGTGTCCCCGGGGAGCACGGGAGCGGGGCCGCTGTGGAGATCGGCCCTTCCACGCCACGGGGGCTGCGAGGGAGCAGCACCGGGGGGAGTTGGCCCCAGGGACACCAGCAGCTGGGGCTGTCACCCTGCCCGTCGGAGCGCTGCCCCCACGTTGACATTCGCTACCGCGGGGACTAAGGCGGCTCAAGGAGGGGCGGTCGCCGCCCGGGCTCGGGGCCTCGCCGTTCCTGGGGTTGGGGGGGGTGGTGGGTGTGGGGTGTAGAACCGGCCCCCGCCGCGGCCTCACCTTGTCGGAGCCGAGCTCGGGCCCGTCCTGGCAGCAGAGGCGGCACAAGAAGGACTTGGGCTCCCGGCACAGCGTCTGCCGGGTGCTCACGAAGTACGTGCCGCCCACGTTCAGGCGCACCCACTTGGAAGCGGCGGGCGGCCGGGCCGCGCCGGGGGGTGACAGGGCCCCACCGGAGCCCGCCGCCGTTCCGGCTGCCGCGCGGGGGCTGGGAGGTCCCGGCGTTCCCCCGGGGCCCGGGCTGGG